TACTTAAGTGAACTCTGGTTTAGTTATACCTTAGTTTTATGTCATTAAAAACTTGACAAACTTAGTAATAAACAATTACTTTCATAGCTGGACATAATAATATGTTAGTTTTACATCAGTGTATTTGTCTTGACCTTATTTAAATCACAGCCAACTTAGATACCAACTTCACTAGCTTTACTAATAAGCCCTATCTCATAAATTCAAGACATACTTATACCATTTGCTGTTTACTCAAACCTTCAGTATTCTTAATTTCTCCCTTTTTCCATTTTGGAATAAACATTTAAAATAATTCTTAATTCTCAAATCTTTTCTTATCCAAAAAAATTCATTTTTGTCTCCTCATTCCTTTCCCAAGGCTTTAAAAAAACTCCTTTTTTTTCTTTACACACTTCCTTTGCTTTAATTTGCTTTTAAAATAACCCTTATAAAACCTTGTAACAAAACTTCCTTTTTAATGCAGCATAATAATCCTTTGAAACATTTGTTAACACCCAAATCTGATGACCTTCTTTGTAGTTTTAGTTTAAACTTGCCCATTTTAAAAAACTTGGCAGCTGGTCACAAGCCGTGCAAGCACTAGTTATAATTGAAGTCAAAAAGCAAATGATTTCAGGAAATATAAAAATATCAAAAAATCACATACAAGTCAGAAGCACTTTAGTTTGATAGAAAAACTACCTTTTTACACACCATACTGACAGTTTTTATATATCAAAATACCAGACTATTTTATACACATTTACACACACACACACAAAACACAATTGTGCACAAAGGTTTTAAAGGGTGCTTAGGTTTTAAAAATGAATATTGGCCTAAGTTTTCTGGAATTCCAGTGGCAAGAGATACTTTTGCCCATAGCACTATAGAACCACATGGTCAGAGTTAGAAAAACAAAAGCTTAAAAACAAATATGTTTGCCAACGAACAAGCAGAATCTCTTACAGATAACCAAGGCCTAGATGTTTACTGAGGCCAAATTATATTACACAGAAAGATTAGCTTGTGTCCCTTAGGATTCCCCCATATCCCTGGTGATTGGGGGACAGTGGGCTTACTATGGGAAGAACCCTGGTTCTTGAGACAGACTCAAGCTCAGTTGGTGCAGACACTATAAGAACAAAGTGAGGGGCTAGGAAGGTGGCTCAGTGGTCGAGTGTTTGCCTTGCATGCATGAGGCCCTGCGTTTTTTCCCTCAGTACCACATAAGTAGAAAAAGTCAGAAGTGGCACTGTGGCTCAAGTAGTAGAGCCCTAGCCTTGAGATGAAGAGCTGAGAGACAGCACAAAGGCCCAGAGTTTAGGCCCACAGCCGAAAAAACAAAAAAGAACAGAGTGAGACAAATAAAAGCTAGTGCTGCCAGGGAGCAGAGGGAGAAAGAGAGTGGGAGGGAGGGAGAGGGACACATAGAAGGACACAGCTTGACAGACAGACAAAATGACATCCAATGTCTTACCAAGAACAATCCCAGTCAGGAAGACTAACAATAGACTGATACCAAGCCAAAACCCTCTGTGTTGTCACAACTTAGAGGGTCTGTTGGGGAGTTCTGATTATATCCAGTTCCATACAACAGCTCAAATAGACCAATCTCCAGAAACCAGAAAGTTGTTTACCTCCAAAGGTCTTTTGATTTAGTGGTGTGCCAGGTGTCCATGGTCTGGCTGTGGGAATAGCAGCAAGACCAAGGGGTCCCATCATCTATTAAGATGCCAAAATGGCAGTGAGGATAAGATGGTGTTACTTAGATCTAGTATACATACTTCAAAACCACAATCTTCCTGAAGTTCACTTAAGTAGCTGGGCTTACAGACATGATTCACTGTGTTCAGCTCAAGAGTTACCATTTTCTTAAAGATAAAATATATTATACTTGCTGGGCACTGGTGGCTCACACCTGTAATCCTAGCTACTCATGAGGCTGGATTCTGAGGAATGCAGTTCAAAGCTATCTCAGGCAGGAAAATGCATGAGACTCTTATCTCCAATTAACCACTAGAAAACTGGAAGTAGAGCTGTGGCTTCAAGTGGTAGAGCACTAGCCTTGAGCAAACAACGTCAGAGAGGGTGTGGGGGCCCTGAGTTCAAGTCTCACAACTGGAAAGAAAGAAAAAAGAAAGGAGGGAAAGAAGGAGGGGAGGGGAAGAAGAAAGAGAGAGCGCACTATACTAATCTATCAAGGAATAAATGAGTGGAAAATGCTAGAGGTGGAAGACCAGGATTTTCAGAAAGGTATTATTAGCTGACATGGTAGTAGACCTGCTCCAGAATGAAACACAGCTGTCAGAAATGTTTCTAAAACAAAAATAGAATAAACTATCTAGACTAGCACAGCCCCAAAGGGTTTTCAAAAAGATTTCAAATGCTGTAATTGAATTTCTGTATTCTTTAAAAGAATTGGATCCAATGACACCCCAATTCTCCACAATTCATGTGCACTAATAGAAAGGAACAAAGAACAAAAATAACATAGTTCAAATATTTCGTGATTCTAATTACCAAGTCTTTGCGGTGGTTTCAGTAGTTTTAATAAATACATTTTTATCAGGATCCTCCTATATTGTAATTTTGACAAAAAGAAAATTATCCCAAAGTCAGGGGTGTTTTACTCCTGAGAAGCTGGTCAATTTTGGCGACAGAGGTGGGAAATTATTTCATCTGATGTTTACTCACAGGTCTAACAGAATTGAATTATTGTATCTCTCCAATTCTCAATAATCTTCTGGATGTTCCATAGAAACTGTCAAGAAAACTGATACCTCTGGTTTCAAAGAATACACTAGATCAACAGCACAGGTGACTGAAAATGACCAGTGATAAGTAATGCTCAAACTTGTCCAAGTTGCTGAGCCAGAGTCCTGCAATCACTGAGGCAAATAGCATGAATGTGGCTGAGAGTGGATGTTCCACTATAATTGAATAGCCTTAGGTCTCAGGAAAGCCACCCTCCATCCTAGGAGATACCTATGCCCTAAGAGGGCAGGACTAGACAGTTCATTCTCAGGACTTTCAGGCAAACCCAAGAAATATCGAAGGAGAATGACTTCTCTGCTTGGCTGGTATTCTAGGAATCTTGTTGTGAAGCAGAGCTCAGGGGTTTAAATCCCGAGCTCTGAGGACTGTGGCTGGGACCACTAGGTAGCTGTGGGCATTGGTGATGCTGGGGATGGTCGCTTAGCCTCTGCAGTGGTTGTGATTTCTGACCAGCAATATTCGCTTCTCCTCCCTCCTGGAATCTCAAGGGCTGAGTCCTCTGACTCCTTTGTGACCCAGTGGTACCACATGGCTAGTTATATACAATGAATTGTGGGAAAGACATTCTATGTAGCTTCTGGGCTGTACCATTTAATACCCAGAATTCTTTCTTGCTGCTCTGACACAATGATCGGCCACATTCAAGATGGTGGCTGTCCCAGGTACCCAGGCCCCAGAGTACCTCGATTTAATGAGCTGTGTCCTATGTTGCTAGACATGTAGCATAGGAGAAATAGACTTGGTTGTGTTAATCCTCTGATATTTAGAGTTTTATGTACTTCCACAACTTAACCCTGATTACAATGCCTCACTAAATCTTAAGTTTCTTTATCTGAGAAACACAAGCAAATTATGGAATCTCTTTTCTAAGGTATTTATGAGAGCTAAGCAACAAGTACTTAGAACATAATTCTAAATGTATTTTGGTGCAGATAATGATGGTGATGATGGTATACCATTTCCCAGCTTGGTATCTACTAACTTACCTATTTCTATCAAACAGGTTTTTTTTGTCATGTGTCTTTGAGAAAATCACTTAACTTCAAATTTCAGCCAGTAGTATGTTCTAGTAGATGAGTTGCAGATTAAATTTCTAGCTTTAAGATAATGTAACTTCATTAAGGATTGCTTCAGAAAACCCAGCCTGATATTTCAAAGATATTTCTATTGGTTATGGAACAAATTATAGAGTAATGCTAAGTATTCTCTTCTCATTTCCATCATTTTCTTCCCATTTACAATTTTTTTGTATCTCTCCCCCTCTTAAGATTTCTGCCCAGAGAATCACACCTATAAATTCTTATCTACAAAATGGCCTACTAATTAGGCACTTCCTGGGGACTCAGTGGTCTTGAACATTTCCCTGTTGTGTTTTCAGCAGTAAATCATCACCTGACTCCAGACCATGGCCCACCAGGGTCTTTCTGAGAATACAGTCTCCCTTTGTTCTAAAGAGGCATGAATGTAAAACCAGACCTGTCCATGGTATAGTACTAGTGGGAGACCAAAGGGAAACAATAGGTGAAAGAGGAAGAATATGTCTGAAATACTTAATGTACATGTGTGAAAATGGAACAAGGAAGTTTGTTGAGATTGTCTTGGAAGGAGGAGGGAGAGGAGGAGAGTGATGGAGGGCGTGAATGTGATCTCAGTACATCATATGCATGGATGGTTGTATCAAAATGACACACCATTGTATAGCTAATTGATGCTAATAAAATATACTTTCCAAAGAAGAGTAACCTGTCTTTAAGCCCCTTGGTCTTGACTCAAGGTGACCATCTCCATACCACCTCCACTGAGGCCTATTTCCCAATTTCTTCACATCAGGGCTTCTCCAGTCTTGATATATGGTCCTTGTCTGTTCCAAAGGCAGCCCTGCCTGAACTTGGTGATAATCAGGATGTGTTAACAGTCTTGATTAAGCCACAAGAAATGACCATTTTAAGGGATTTGTTTATGGCAATTTCTAATGGTTCCACCTGTTTATAGACCTAGTTTGTATAAGAGGGAGAATTTTATCTCATACATGTTGAGTTCCATATTGGAGTCTGTCAGAACCCTCATGGATGGCTGCTTCCTTACCTTGTTGAACTGGGGGAGCATGGTGGGGGGGGGGATTCTTGTAGCCTAGGAGGAGGCTTTCCCTCAGCTCTGCATCCACGTCGCACACATTTGCGCTGACTCTGAAAGCACCAGGGTGGCAGGAAGTAACACTGATTTCCTTTAACCTTTTTCAGATCGAAGACATCATTACAAAGATGCAAGATGACAAGACGGGGGGTGTGCCCGTCAGAACGGTCAAGAGCTTTCTCTCCAAAATCCCCAGTGTGGTCACAGGTAACGCTCTCCTCTCAAGGAGTCACTGAGGATCTGTGTCCCATAGATTGTGACCCCAGGGTGTCTAGGAATCTGTGATGAGTGGAAAGAAGTCAGTGCATTTCCTGAGTTACCCTTATCTCAGTTTCCAGAAAGAAGGTGTTCCTTGACCAATTATTGGGCCTAGCATGAGCAGCCTTTCAAGTGTGTCTGGGAATAAACAAGCCATCAGCTGACACATTAGCATCCAGGCCTAGAGAAGAGAAACAAGCACAGAAATATTAACAAAGTTATGTTAAAGCAGGATCTTAGTCTGGGTTTTCAGTTTTCTGAGACAATTACCGTTTCACAACGTAGTTCACGCTAGACTCAAACTCTTTATCCTCTGCCTCAGCCTTCTAAATGCCAGGATTATAGACGTGAACCATCACATCATGGCCATGCTGATGGTAACACAAATGTATGTGGGTCAAATGTTGTAACAGTACGCACCTAGAGTCAATAACTTTATTATGAACTGAAAAGCATGTAAGTTCAGTTGAAGTATTATTAGCAACTTTTGTCTATTCAGTGTTAATCTGGAGTTATTTATAGAGTTCTCACCAGCAGGCTCTCTGTCCAGTTGGAATATATGTTGTCAAGGAGGCATTGGAGCATGTGGGCAAGATTTTAAAGGAGTGTATGAGCTTTGAGCATAAATTATGAGCATATCAATGGTCTTAGAACTGTGAGATTTGTGAGTCCAGGCAGTGAGTATAAGTAGAACACACAGCCCGGGTCCTAACACATGGGATGGCCAATGTATATGGGTCAGCAAGGGACGGAGAAGAGAGCAAAAGAAACAGGAAGGCTTAATTAATTTCAATAAATACATTTAATAAAAAGCAAAGGAAGCTGGGTACTGGTAGCTGACATTTGTAATCCTACCTACATAGGACACTGAGGATTATAGTCAAAGCAGACCAGGTAGGAAAGTCCATGAGGCTCCTATCTCCAATTAACCATTTTGAAAAAGCCAGAGTGGAGTTGTGGCTCAAGTGGTAGAATGCAAACCTTGAGCAAAAATGTTCAGGGTCAGTGCCCAGGTCCTGAATTCAAGCCCCAGAACTTGCACACACAAACACATAAAAGGCAATCTGTATTAACTAACTTAATATAGGTATGTTTGTTTCTTTCATTCTTTCTTTCTCTCTCTTTCTTCCTTCTTTCCTTCCTTCCTTCCTTCTTTCTTTTTTCCTTCCTTCCTTCTTTCCTTCCTTCCTTCCTTCCTTCCTTCCTTCCTTCCTTCCTTCCTTCCTTCCTTTAGTTGGTCATGGGGCCTGAACTCTGAGGCTGGGCACTGTCCCTCAGCTCTTCAGCTCAAGGCTAGCGCTCTACCAGTAGAGCCACAGCACCACTTCTGGCTTTTTCTGCTTATGTGGTGCTGAGGAATTGAACCCAGGGCCTCATGCATGCAAGGCAAGCTCTCTACCACTGAGCAACCTTCCCAGCCCATAGGTATGTTTCTTTATCCAGTATACAGATGTTAAGAAAGTAGGAATCAGGGCCAGAAAACCTAAGATAGGTTTTGGACATGTGACCATTGAGACTTTGAGAGTAATCAGGAGGTCCTGGCCTGGAACAAATTACAAGAGATGGATAGAAGTCCTAGAGAAGAGCTATGGATTTGAAAGACACAAAAACCTAAGTGATGACAAAGTTTCATATTTTCATCCACAAACTATGCATTAATTTATCCCCTATCTACCTAGAAGATAATGTGCTACCCCACCACAATCTTCTAAGGTTTTGAGGAAGATTCCTGTTGACATGTAAGGACATGTAACTATCTTCACTCCTCCTATCTGGAGCTCAAAGCTGAATTCATACATGTAACTTGGATAATGCCCTTTGGTTCACATGTAAGTTAGACATATTAGGCTTAGAAAGCCAGTGAGGGACCGGGAAGGTGGCTCAGTGGTAGAGTGCTTGCCTCTCATGCATGAGGCCCTGGTTTCAATTTCTCAGCACCACATAAACAGAAAAAGCCAAAATTGGTGCTGTGGCTCAAGTGGTAGAGCACTAGCCTTGAGCAGAATTGCTGAGGGACAGCGCCCAGGCTCAGAGTTCAGGCCCCATGACTGACAAAAAAAAAAAAGAAGAAGAAGAAAGAAAGAAAGCCAGTGAGACAGGAATGGACATGTTTAGAAGAAGATAAGAGGTGGGAGATAACCTTAGAACCCAATCCCTCTCTTAAAAGTGAAGGTTTAAGAATTCTAGGGGATGAGGGCTGAGAAACAAATGTTCCTAAGGGGAACTACATGGTAGACAGAAGTAGAGTAGAAATGAGAATCCAATCTTACATTGCAAAAACACAAACAAACAAACAAAACACCTGAAGCTCATTGGCTTTGGTGGAGGAAGACTTAGTCATAAGAAATGCAAATCAGGTCCTGCCATCTTACCACCCAGAGATTTGCAATTTCTGAGCAAGGTATCCACAGGAAGCGCATCTCATGCTCTCCCTACCATTCCCCTGTTAGGACAGCAGGCCAGTCTTCAGACCCTTCTCTGAGTGGTAAGTAACAAAGATGACAGTAGGGGCCATGGTGGTGAGGTGGCTGATTTTCCACTTCCAGTCCACAGCCCTACCACCCCCTCTACCTGCTCTGACTGACAGACAAACCTGAGCAAGACTTGGACTAGCTTCAAGAGTCTTTGGAGTTCATTTCTTCCAAGCTACTCTCAGAAACACCCTTTTCTAGCCTAGAGAAATCTTCAGATCTAGTCTCCTTTATCTCTGCAGACAGGAAAATTGAATTCCAGAGTCGTGATGCAATGTGCTCCCAAATCACATAGCTTGTTAAGAGACAGAACCAAAACTATTATCTGGATTCCTCATTGCAAGTTTCTCCCATCACCTCATGCTGAGATTTATCTCCTTGAATGCAACTTGTATTAAAAGATATCAGGTGCATTTCCTCTAAACAGATGGAAAACTTGCATAGTTGGTTAAAAAAAAATACAAGATTGTCTCTACAGCCTGTATGAATGGGAAGTCTGTGTAACCCCTGACAACTCCAGCCTCTATTTTAACAACCTTCAGCTCTCATTCTATCTCTGGCCCACTTTGACCTTGGAAGTCTTTTTCCTTGTAACGAACCGAAACTTGCTTGCCCTCTTCTTTCTTTGATTTATTAGTCTCAGTTCTGCCTCTTATTCATCAGCAAAGAATGGAGGGATAGATTTGATTAAAAATTATGCCCACCTACCTCTTCCTTATGAATTTTTATTGTACAATTTTCAGAAAGTATTCCATATATATTTTATGCTACTAATCTCAGCATAGATGTCCATCTCTGGCTTTTCCTAGTCCATCTTTTGTTGACATGAGCACTTATAAGTATCATTATTATGGTCTCTTGGCAGTACAATTGGAGGCAGCTTCAAGCTACCTGTGGGACCTTAAGCGCCTGGTCACTAGCCTTGTTGGGCCTCAGGGACCTTGAGCGCCTGGTCACTAGCCTTGTTGGGCCTCAGTTTCCCTGCATCCAGATTAAATGTCATCTATCCTGCTCTGATATGCTGTGGCTCTTCACAGAATATGTAATAAGGCCCGTCTGAAGTTCATGCTTTCCCCTTTTCCTCTACATGTTGTACTTGTGTCTAACCCTAAGTTAACTCAAGGCACCACTTCTCTTGGGATATGATTCTCCCAGATCGAAAACAAAAGAGCCAGATGAGGAAATCTGAGAATTATTCACAGTCAACATTGTCACTCCCCTGCTTCTATATTGCTGGAAGTAACATGAACTGGAAAAATAATTCAAAATGGAGATAATTTGTGGAGTTCCTATAGTAAATAGATTGAGTCATAGTCCCTGAAAATATCATAGCCTAGTTCTTTATATCTGTAAGTGATAGCTTACAGTGAAAAAGAGTCTTTGTAAATTACATTAAGCTTCAGATGGGGAGAGTACCCTGGCTTATTAGGATGGGCCCTAAATGCAATCCTATGAATCCTTATGAAAGAATCAGAAGAAGATTTGACACAAAGAGAGGAGAAAGTTAAGTAATTTAGAAGACAGATATTGGTGTGGCCACAAGCCAAAGAATGCTAGCAGCTACCAGAAACTTCCCTAGAGCCTCTAGAGGGAATGTGGCCCTGTTGTTACCTTGATTTGAGCCTTTGAAACTAACTTGTGGCTTCATGCTCCAGGACTATGAGCAAATAACTTAAGCCAGAGTTTGTGATGACTTGTCAGAGCACCCACAGAAAGCAAAAACAGTACCCCTCCCTGCGCCAACATGGTGTCAAGGGGAAGAAATGCCAAGGAAGGTTTAGAAAATTAACATATTAACTTATAAAAGAAGTGATCAAGAGCTAACAAGTAGTTTTCTCCCAACGTCTTGGGAAAATTTTGAGAGCAAATTGAATTGATATGCATTAAGGTAGGTCAGTCTTATTCAGACTAGTCAGCTTCTACTTACTGATATTATAACATGAATTTCATTTGTCTTGATGTAATTTAAAATACCTCTAAACTACATTATCCTGACCTATCATATTATTCTTATATTTGGGACAAGTTAAATAAATTAATAATACAATATCAATGCACAATATTAATTCAACATTAATATAAAAGACAATCTATTCTAAATTAGAATGCCATAATTTATTCATATAATGTTAAAAACACATGGTGAGAAGTGGCATTTTTATATCAGGAGTGCTTCCCTTGCTTTGAATATTTTTTTTCTAGCTAGAATTTTAGAAACTTGTTGAACCTATATAAATACCCTTCACAAAAGTAAAATCGTGAGTCCAACCTTACATTCAAATCCACATATATCCACATCGATAGTCAAACTTATTTGGAGATTTCTGCCTTGAAGAAGAGCAGATTAAAAAATCAGAGGTATTTTCTGGATGAGAACAACTAGAAATGCTGAGAAAGAAAAAAAAAATCAGCATGGTGTCATTGGTGCATTAACGAGAGTGAAGAATGGAATGAAATTGCTGGAGTAAGATTTGTGAC